CCTGGCCTCCCCGGCCCACAGCCTCACCGACGAGGACGAGGGCTGGCAGTCAGACGGTCACAGCACCCTCTGCCCTCCCGCCCTGCGGGCACACCGTGACCTGCAGCTCCTGGTACGTCGTGTTGCCCTCCTTGAAGCACAGCTGCCCGCAACCAAGCCCGGAGGCGTTTTGCCCAAGGAGCTGCAATCTGCCACTTGGCCAGGGTACAGCTGCGGGGGTCGGGACCAGACAGGGGGCTATGGGGGTCTCCAGGGGTTGCCTAAGGGTGGTGGCTTCTTGTTGCATGCTTCCCCTCCAGCCGGGCTGCTGGGGCGTTTGCACGGTGGGACAGAGCCTCAGGGGTGAACAATGCACAGACTTCCCCCACGGCACCCCATCCCTGCCATGCTCTCTGGGGGGGTCTGGCAGCCCTGTGAACCCCGCCACTTGACGATACCTCCTAGGAAAAAAAAAAGCAGGCGCGGGCCCTCCCCCCCCTGCGCCAGACACTGCGGGAGGGCCGTGGGGTGAGCCGCAGCCTGGCCCAGAACCTGCGCGATGCCCTGCGGTCCTTTGAGGACCTCCTCCGTGGCACTGACATCGACTACTACCTGGGCCAGGGCTTTCGGGAGCAGCTGACCCAGGGCAGGCAGCTGGCTGAGAGGCTCAGTGACAAGCTGGGCACCAGTAAGTACCTTTGAGGGGGGGGGGCACTGGGGCTGGACATCATGGGGCATGGTGGGCCAGGAAGGGATGCTTTGATGGGTGCTGTGAAGAGCTGGAGGCATTCAGACACCTTGTGCCATGTGGGCGACCCACTTGGAGCTGGGCAGTCCTGTCCTGCTGTGGCTCTCTTTTTGGGTTCGGGCAGCCTGGAGCACGGAGACATTGACTGGCTCCTCTCTGGCTTGGTTTTTCAGGAGATCGACAAGATGGGGAGGATAAAAGCAGCCACGAACTCCTGGCACTGAGGTACCTGTTCCTGGGGAGGGCTTGGGGGACCTGCTCTGCATGGGCTCCCTGGGGCTATCACTGCTCTTCGGTTTTGGGTCCAGGGTGCCCTTGGGATCTCTGCTCCAGCTGGACATCCTGAGGCTGTCTCTGTCCTGGGGATGGGGAGCCCCAGGCTTGGGCTGGGTACCCTGTAGCTCCAGGCAGCCTTGTGGCGTGTGTGGGGTGCCATGCTGGAGCGTGCACAGCACAGCGGGGAAGGACTGTGGGATGGGGGTTACCCTGCCCTGCCAGCCCTGGTGATGGGCCACCTCTGCAGGCTCAGACGGGAGCTCCAGGAAAAGGAGAAGGTGATTGAGAGTCTGGAGGCAAAGCTGCAGGAGCGCTGTGAGTCCCCGGGCAGCAGCCGCCCACCCTCCGAGTCATCCCGCTCTGCCACCAGTTCCTCCTTCGTGTCCGAGGGGCTGGAGCCC